GATTGAGCAGCACAGCAAAAACTGAACAGCCAGCAGTATACCACTTGCAAACATGCAATGCCAATACTGCAAATAAAATATATCTGAAGAACAATAGCATTGAGGCTGAACTGAGAAATAGCCAACAACAATGCAGCCTGAGCTAAAACACGCTATGTCATTGAAAGTTGTAATGGCCGCGCTATGCACCTTCATGAATGTGATTGGATGATACCAGCCACACAGCTGTGAATTAGCCAATTACTATGAAGCGTATTGCAAACAGGTGACGCCCATCAGCCAATAGGCTACAAGTGTAACTTCCGTGCTCTGTAGGCTATTGTATGTTCAAATTACATTATAATTGTTTATCAAATTTAACCAATTTAACCAGGTATGTCCCATTGAAATTATAAAATCTCTTTTTCAAGGGAGGCCTGGCAAAGACAGCAGCAATGTAAAGTTTAAAAACATCACAACATTATTCTGAACAGCATACACACAAACATTAAAATACGTAAAAAAAAAAAAACACACACACAGTATTGGCTCAGAAAATCATATGCCAAGACAGACAGGTCTAGCTGAGGAAGCAGAACTCCAATTGAGTTACCCTCCAAGCCTTTAACTAAATTTATAAAAGCTCTAATTGGGATTAAGCAAATCTTTCTGTCTGCAAGTCGTTCCAGGTTGAAGAGGCAGACAACATGTAAACCTGTTTATCCATATATAGGCTACAAATATTTGTTCTGTTTCCCATTCACTTCTATTGCAGCCCAGATAATGAAACATGCATTTCCTGTTTCCCATCCCCAGCCAGCGGATTCACTCACACACTCCAAATTACTACAATATAAATGGCTAAGCAGACACTACATCACTCCAGCTAGGTTCAACCTTAATCCTAATATTCCCAAACACATGTATGCATGTCATAACCAGAAGGGGCCTCTGTTTTATTGCATGTGGGAACGCCCACAGATATTCTGCTTTTGGGAAAAGGGTTCTGGATCTGAACAGTCAGATTATTGGTAAAGATGTGCCTCTTAATCCTGTGAAATGATGTTTTCTGAATGTTTACCCAAACAATTTTTGTAACTTCAAACAATGTAAGCTCCTTGTTTATATATATTATTTATATATAATATATATAGATTTTATTTTACACATATTTTCTGTTTTGATTGATTGTTTTTGTTTGTTTTCTTTTTCCTGTTTTAGTTGTATAATTGTTCAGATTGTGTTTAATTCAGATTATTATCATTATTCATCTTATTGTCTCCCTTTTTCTAAAAGAGGATGGTACCAAAGACATATTCAGCTCATACACATACAGGCTTCAAAGACAAAAACAAAAGAAAAATGTACATTTTAGGCAACTTTTTCTTGCTCTGTAGCTGCAAATGATCACTAGATATATTTTTGATCGGCCATGTCTGACAGTAATGAAAAATTATTCACCAAGGTGTATAAAACGAGACTGGGTTTGAAATGTGTTTGCAATAACTTACCTGTGTCTGCAGAGACTTTTGGAGGATTATATGTGTGGCCGTGTGGAGCTGTAACCTTTCACCTCATTAACTCAAAGTCTGTAAGCAAATGAAGTTGAACTTTATCCTATTAAGGGGAGCACTACAGAGACTTGAAGCTGTATAAAAAAAAAATCCAATGTAGTTTGACTGTCTGTTCGTTCACTATGTGGAAAGGGCAGAAGTGAAAAACTTCTCTCCCTCTCTGGAATTAATTAAAAGATCTGTGTAATATTGTCAATTTGTCATTACTGATAATTTATAGGATGGCTAGACAGCTGCTCATGTGACCACTGTTATAACAAATAGACTGGTTTCTCTTATCCTTGTAGCTAGACAGTGGAGAAATCTTTTTCAATTAAACACTATAGATCACATCCATGCTTTTTAATTTTGCTCCTGGAACTAATGTGAGGAAAATCTTTTTTTTTGCAAATGAGTAATTTCATCTTTAGTGGGGGGTCTCATTGAGCATGTTAATTTAAATTTTCAAGGAGCTCAGATGTATGGTTGTCTGTGACAGTGGTGAATGAGTCTATTCTGTATTCAAAGAATAGGTGAAAGTAGAAACTGATGATATAATGATATAATGGTCATAAAGTCTTCACACCAAAAGGCTCCCTCTGTAAGTTCATTCTGTTCTGTTTTGTTTACATAGTAGATCCCACCACCCACAACAAATTGCAGGATGACTACAGGATGACAGAAAATAAGCTATGTCTTCTCCCATCCGCTCGACGATCGGCAGACTTGTCGTCTTACCTCTCTGCCTCGGACATGAAACCAGACCTGTATCAAATAATAGTTTGTTCTAATCTACTGGAGCACTAGATCAGTGGAGTTTACAGCATGGAGAGGAGTTAGATTAGGGCAAATCACAAAAAAATACTACACTGTCCACTGCCTGCTTGTGCAGTGTTTTTGGCAAAAATTGTAAATCGCACATTCTCTCGATCATTTGTGAAAAGTATGCATACTGTCTTCCATTAAAAAAACATAAAGGTTACACAAAATTCACCTGTCACTAGATGTTGCAGTAGAGCACCAGCATCTCAGACCAAAACAATGGGTTCTACGGTAGACCAGAGTCCATTGACAAAATCAATAATTATACCTAGCAGTTAAACACAATTCGGACTGGGCAGAAACAAAATAAAACTCAACAAATAAAACCAAGACAGGTTTTGTTATATTAGTCTTACCGCTGTCTTTGTAACTATCACCAGCTGTGGTTTGGTCAAAAAATACTCTTATTTCACTGAGTTAGATGAGAAAATAGCCATTAGACAGGCTGCTATGGCTGCTGTGTTCACTAATCCTTGAGGACTGTTGGGACAAATGCACCCATGAAAGTATGGCCATGGTTGTTTTTGCTTAGTTGTTTTTTTTACCTTGCATATTATCACAAAACACTAACTGGTTTGGTCAAAATAAATCCTTAATTCACCATTTCAGTTGTACACCTAGAGACTTACATGCACACATGGTCAGATTTGTAAACAAACCACAGACAGTCTAGGATAGAAACACACAGGCAAAGAGATTGACATTCTAGTTGTTTGCTGCTATAATAGCATTTTAAATCTCAACTTTTGAAGTATAGTACAGTTATCAATACTACTGCCTTCTGACACTAGACGTGGAAAATTTAAATTTAACATCTGCAGAACCAACTTTGTGCACTTCTGCAGAGACTGCTGCAGCCTAAATTGTTTTCCATCTGAAATGTTATTTCACTTGGTTGTTAACTGAACTGAAAAGAGGACACGATTTGAATATGTAATTCTTCTGAGCATCACTGAAGCTCTACTTGCTATGGCACACGGCATGTAATTCAAAAGTGGGATTTGTGTTATCTTTATAAAACAGAGTTACATGAAGTATGCTTGAAGCATCACACTTTAGAACCAGTGCAAGTTATTTAGTTATCAGCAAGGTTACTGTGAAGGGTGTATGGGTAGTGAACTGCCATATGATCTGTTATTATCAGTCAGTGGTAGACTGTAATTAATATATCCAAGTACTGTACCAAAGTACAATTTTGAGGTACTTACTGTACTTGCATATTTCCATTTACAGAGGGAAAAACTGTACTTTTTCTCCACTTCATTTATTTGACAGCTTTAATTACTAGTTACTTTGCAGCCTTAGATTTTGCATTAATTGTCAAGTTATATAATATGATATATTGCTAGATTTAACCACCCAACAGTATATAAAGTAGTTCAAATTAGTTTTACCTCCATCTGCTATTTCATTAAAATTCTGCTCAGATATTTTTCAACCTTAATAATAAAAAATAACATATTAGTTTTATTTAGTTTCTCATGAAACTTATGTATGTTTACTTAAGATTTTGAATTTTGAACCACTGGTTATTATTTATCACTTTTTGACCCCTACTGACCTTTACCCCGATTGCCTTGAATTTAAGTAGTAAGTAACTTAAGTACATTTAAAATTAAGTAACTGATGTAGAACCTAATTTGTTTCAGGGAAATCAATGTTAACAAATTGAAAGTAACAACTTAAGTTCAATTCATTAAAATTTGTATTATTTATACTTAAAGTGTGCAGATCAACGTTTTTCACAATTATTCAACTCGCCATTTTAAGTTACAATTCAGTTTCATTTAGTGTTCTTTATCATTAATTTAAGTCAAATACATTAAATTGAAAATGTGTCTTGTTCACTAATACACACAGTACAATGATTGTATTGAAATAGGATTTAAAATTGTAAAACACAAATCAAACACACATTGTTTGTTGATCTTATATACATTAGAACAAACATTAAATGTACCATGGCATCCTAAAAAATATATTTTTATATATTGTGTACCAATGTGTAGGCCAGCCCTACACTGTTTTTTATTTTATTTTGAATTTTGGGTGTCAGCTCACCTCTACCCAGGTTCAGCATCACCTTTTGAATACAGTTATAATGTTTTGGAGGCACTTTGGATACTCCATGCAATACAATAGGCGATGCCCTCCCTCACAAGGCTGCAGGATGTACACACACAGTATATGTGTGTGCCAGAGGCGGTGGTGCTTCTGTAGTAATAATCTGGATGCAGTAGACCTCTGCTTCCATTAGAGCTCCATATAAGGCTCTGAACACGGCACTGATGAGGCTCTGGGTCTCCCTCTATCGCAATGATGCCTGAGCTGTGGATTAAACGTTTAAATTAAAAGTGTTTAATTCCAATAAAGTGATGGGGATGTGATCCATTCTATTGCCAATAAATACACACATGAATAAAAAAGAAATGATGTATAATTTTAATATTCACGAACCTGATCTACGTATTACTTGCACAAAACATCTCATTACCAAAACTGCTGTGTTCAACGTGATGCTCGTGACATCAGCCTTACCACCAGTCACGCAATCGTGCGTCGTGCTTCTATTTTTACACTAAAAAGCTATTTTTGAACAGGGGTGCACCAGCGCGTTTTAGAGTCTGGCAGAGAAGACAATATAAGTAGCTCGAGAGACCGACAGCTTGAAGTACTTTTGTGTCCTTTTTAAAGCTGCCATCATGTCAATGCGCAATTGCGCAGCCAGGAAACCCTCAGTTGTGAGACCAGTGGCATGACAAGGGTGCTTGAAAACTACCGCAGCGCCTTACTAGAGCAAGCCTCCTGCTGTGACCCAATTCCCATGAAACGGACTCGTAAATTCCCTCATAATAACCAGGTGAGCTTTCTGTCTGTCAATTCCCTGTGACCTAACCGTGGACGCCGTTGGAGGGACCGTCTCGTTTACTGAAGACATTTGGTGCTAGGGGAGGGTAAGCATGACAGTGTGTTGGATATGTTGTGACTGCAACTCATGACAGTTTGCATCAAGACTGTGGATGCACTCATCAAAAGTCTTTATATTTGAGAGGAAGCACCATGGACGCAGCGGACGTAGTTGCTTCCGTGTTGGTTTTGGGGATTATTATCGTGTCGCTGCTGTCCAACGTCGTGGTGCTGATCTGCTTTTTGTACAACCCGGAGATCCGCAAACAGGTACCCGGTCTTTTTATTCTCAATTTGACGTTTTGCAACCTGTTGCTAAGCGTGTCCAACATGCCACTAACTCTGGTCGGGCTCATCACCACGGGCCAACCCGGAGGCAGCGGCTTCTGTCAAATTGTGGGTTTCCTCGACACTTTTCTCACCACAAACTCAATGCTCAGCATGGCAGCTCTCAGCATCGATAGATGGGTGGCGGTGGTGTTCCCGCTGAGCTACCACTCAAGAATACGGCACCGGGATGCAGTCATAGCGCTGGGATACACGTGGATACACTCACTTTGCTTCTCCACAGTGGCCACCTGCCGCTCCTGGGTCGGGTACCACCACCTTTACGCATCGTGCACTCTCTGCAATGTCAGGGCGAAGGGAACCGGGACGCAGTTTATCATTTTTACCGTGGCTTTGCACTCCCTCACTTTCCTCCTCACGCTGATCGTGTTGTGTGTAACGTATCTGAAAGTGCTGAAAGTTGCACGGTTTCACTGTAAACGCATTGACGTGATCACTATGCAGACGCTGGTTCTGCTTGTGGATATTCACCCCAGGTAAACAACCATTAGAGATGCATTCAGTCTAATCCATTTTCCTTTTGATGCATTTGTCTTTCACTAAACTGTCTGTGCCATGTCATTTTGTCCACTATGTGAAATATTTCAGTAGGCATGTTGATCCTGTGGCAACATCAGAACATGCTCCAGTGAAGGTTAAGACATTCCGTCCTCAAGACGCAAATAGATAATGCCAGAAAAGCTGCACTTACTGTTTTCATATAGAACATAACAGGGGGTGGTGGTGGTGGATTGTGTCTTCTTCTGCACTGCAAACAGTGCTGAATGGATTAGTTGATGGACAGAAAAAGTTTTGATGGTCAAAAATTCAAAACATTTTGTGGCTCAAATTAAGGATTTGTTGCTTTTCTCTGTTTTCTATAGTTTTAAGTTAAATAATATTTTAGGATTTGGTTAGACAAAATAAGCTTTTTGAAAATGTGGAACTTGTGATGCACATTCTTCACTATGTATTAACCAGTTAATCAGTTATTTACTTAATAATCACAATATTAATCAATAATTAAAGTCTTTATATACAGTAGTTGCATCCTGCCAAAAGCAGTCTTTGAACTAATTTAAAAAATACACTATTCACAAAACTTTTCCCTTTATGTGATGAATTTAAAGTGCTTCGCTGATGATGATTGAAGCTTGCTGGCAGTCAGTGTTTACATTATCACATCTCATGAAGGTCAGCAAGGCCTTCCTCATGTTCTGCGCTTCAATCATTTGCTCTCCATCCTGATTTAGTCAAATAATTAAACTTTGAATCGCTCCTCATTTACATAATTGATATCTGTGCAGTGTGAAAATCCCCATTGTAATCCTCAGAGATAGCAGCGCACAGTTCACTGCTTTCTTCACATCCATCCCACATGTTTTCTCCATGGACTGCTTCATTATGTCTGCATGTCTCTGATCATGCCTCCTGGGTAGATAATGGTACCTATGTGCTTTGGCAGTGTGCGACAGAAATGCTTGGATGAGCAGAAGCGGAGGAGGCTGAGGGCCACCAAGAAGATCAGTACATTCATCGGCACATTTGTGGTGTGCTTCACCCCGTATGTGATTACAAGGTGAGCAGTGATTTTTAATAATGTATGTGGGGTTTTGTGTGTGTGAACGGTAATGCATGTGTGTGTGAGGTATTTAACACCATGTGCAGTATCATCAAAACGTGTAGAGGTGGCCTTTTTCTGCCTTGAAAAAAAATGCTAAACATCCATAAGACATTCGTGAACTACAGTTAAATTCTGGACATTTTGTCTTTTCTCAGCAATAAAAAAAATGCTTTAAATTATCTTCCTTATTCAGCTTAATAAGTAGAACAACTCTCCCAAGACTTTGACAGAGGGAGTCTGCATTTTCACTTACCTTGCTGTGGCTGCTAATGTGGTTGTACTAGGCTTATCGCCTGAATACAGGTGGCGATAATTATTTTCAATGCTGTTTTACTATCTGGTAACATTTTAAACATTTTTATCTGCTTCCTTTTCATAATGTCATAGCTTATTGGTTCTGCACACATTTCTAATCCTTGTCCCTGAGCCTCCATTACTGAGGAGATGAGAGGGAGAGCGACAGAGAGAGAGAGATAACAAATGAGTCTGTGATCATATCACTGGCTCTCATTAGTATTAGCCCGAGTATTAGTGGTGGCAACCTGTCAAAAGCTGTTAGAATTGTGGTGTGGAAATAGAAAGGAAGCACATTAGGATCTCTGTGGTGTTGAGACACGTTAGACTTAAGGAGATCAAACTAATAAACTGGTGTTGATTTTTTACTTTATTTTGGCTTTAATTTAATTTATTAGGACAAAATAACTGTCAGGCATTGGATATGTTTTAAAATGATTTTAACCAGAAGCAGCAAAAGTGACACCCATCAGTTCACATTCCCCAACACAGTGATGACATTTCAGTGAAGTGAAATGATGACATTTTCACAATATTACAGCACTGGGGGAGGGTAGTTTCCTTTACATGTCTTCCACTCCAATTACACTTAACTAAGAACTGGCTCAACTGCTGCAATTTGCTCATGGATGGTGTTTGACTTTTTTCTCCTCTTTTTGCTTTATTTGAGGTAGAATTGTAGAGCTCTTCTACCCAGGACCGATAAACCCTCACTGGGGTGTGTTGTCCAAATGTTTGGCATACAGCAAGGCAGCAAGCGACCCATTTGTCTACTCACTGCTGCGTCACCAGTACAGGAAGACTTGCAGCCTTCTGGCTAACAAGGTCCTCAAGAGAAGTCCACTCAACTCCTCCTCCCTCAGGATGGAGAACAACGCAGGGAGGAGCAACACCAACTCCAACACAACCAACAACATCCAACCACCTACCAACAAGCCACTAGGACAGTGAAGGTCATCACTTTCAGAGACAATTAGGGTGCTTTGCCGTGCTAAAGGTGTCATGGATTTGACATCTTACTTTGAAGTTAACACTCATGAAAACAGGGGTATGACAGTAGATTGACCTCTGTGGGATGGTGTAACGTCAGAGTGAACAAGCTTGTCACCTGATTATTGTTGAAGGACAAGGCTGGCGATATTCTATATTTTTCTTATTATCAACAAGTCTCATGAAAAGACCAAAAAGTGATGCACAAGTCTGTCCAGCTGGGCATGGTAGTATTTTGCACATGTTCCTTAAACAGGAGTAAAGCATGCCTTTGTAGGGGAATACTTTAAGCAGCAAATGTGGTACACTAGTAAATATTCAGACCATTAGGACATGGGATTAACTAAAAATAAACCAAATTTGACCATGACATGTCACCCAATGCAATGGTGTGGCTCTTACATGTGTTTGCAATGACGACAGCAAAGGTGCATGGCACAGAGGAATCAGCTATACCAGGCTTTGGCTATACTGTACATGTAATTATTGTCAGTTGGATCAATTCATTGAAAAATATAGAATATCATCAGCCTTATTCTTTAAAGAAGAATAGACGACCACTTTTGTAGGTTGTGTGTGTAGACTGTAATGGCATTACGTATTTCAGTGTAATAGTCAGTCTTTTTCTGCAAAGAGTGACAGTTTCTTATGAGTTGATTTTGTAGCATACTGGTAAATGTGTGTCAAATAGGCTCTGTAACATGGAAATCACCATTATGGTGATTTATTTGTTAATTGTGTCATTAAAGGCACAAACTGAATTAGTGTAGCCCTATTTCCAAAGTTCAGAACACAGGAGCCTGCTATCACTCCCAAATTGATTAGCAGTTCTTGTATGTGGACAAGCAGTAGACAACTACAATAAATCTTAAGTTTTAACATTTCCTGATGCTGTTAAAGGTCAAATCAGTAATGTACTAATGCAAGAGTATTTTCATTACCTCAAGTCAGTAAAGTTGTAAATTATATGGTCTAAAAAGGTCTCTGTTTGGGCCTTTAGTTTTACATCCCACCTGAAGTGAATGGCTGGAATTCTTGATAATTATTCAAGCATAACTTCTGACCTCAATGATGATACTTTGGCTGGATGAAGTAGTGTGTGTGTTTAAGGGATAATATGAAACAGATGAACATTTTTGACAGTACAGTCATGTCACATGCACAGCAGTGCATCGCACAGATGGAATTACTGTATGTTGTAGCTGTGAGGCCTGAGTTCTAAAGTGCCTTTTAGACTATGAGCTCTCTGATTTATTCAAAACACAACGGAGGAAACCTTTCACATTCTGTCATTTGCTTGGTATTCTGTGCTGTGGTTAAGCTTGATGATAGAGCCTGTTATGCAGTTTGGTCACATTGTAAGAAAAGTAATGTTTATTTTGTAATACCACCACGTTGTATTGTTACGTCGGGCAAAACAGGGTAAAATATTATTTGAATGTGGTAGCAACTATTCAGTGATGTGAATTAACATTCCAGCTCATGCCATATGAGCGGCTGTGAAAATCAGGATGTTGTGCTTTTACTTTACTGTGACAGTATGAAGCCTTTAAAAGGCATAAGATCTATTTATTTTTGTCAAAACTGTGTCTGATCTTTGCTAAATACGTTTGTGATTATTGCATTAAATGCTGTGCATTTTGACATTTTAAGACCTCCCCAAGTTTCTTCTTACACATTTATTATTGTCTGTGTTTATTTCTATATTACTTGAAATAATGCACAGATAGTTCAGCAGTTTTTTTTACTTGAACAATGCTTTACCAAAAGACAAGTCTGCCAAATCTTAACACCTTCATTCTCCCACGCTGATTTAGTCAAGGAGAAGGAATAATTAATTTGAAAAATCATTTAAGATGTGTTCCACCCACCACTGCTGCAGTTGATTTGGCAGCAGAACAAAGACTTTTAACAAAAGCATCAGGGCTGAGAGTTTAAAGCTTTCTTAATTGCAGAGCTTCTGGAAGGAGTGGGAAAAGAAGAAAAGGAATCAAGAAAAACAGAGGAAAGTAGGCCCTACCTCACCAATTTAGGCAGCTGTGACAGTACTAAGAGATTCTGGGAATCATCATCATCCATCCTCCTCACCCCCATCAAAAACCAAATTTCTATCATCTGTCATCAACTCTCTGGTTAACTTCCTTCTTTCCCTTTACGCACTTTAACAAGTGCCTGAAACAATATCTATTCTGTCTCTGTCAAATACATGAAACAATTATGTCACCCATCAAAGCTGGCTCCATTGGTTTTTATTATTCACCAAGGGGGGGAAAGCTGCATTTACCATCACTGTATTCACAGAGCACGCCAGCCAAGGACAATTAGTGGAAAGTATTTAGAAAGTTTGGAAGGATCCCCAGTCTGGAGGTGTGCGTATACCTTATCTCCCTAGGAGACTCAGTGAGTGGGTGAGAGGCAGACACAAACCTACCATACACGAAATGCTGTGTACGGACCTTGTGATTAAGCCACAGCGCGTAGGAAGTTCAAGAAAGCAGAGGAGGAAGGCTGGGAAGACGAGTGGCTGATTTCACACAACCCTGTCAGGGCAAGAGTGGTTCTCCCAGCCTCATAAAGTCAAAGTTGTCCCCATAAAAAAAAAAAAAATCCTGCATAAAGTAAAATTCCTCATTAAAGATTTTGGATGCTAAGTGTTGGTTGTGTTTTGTGAGCTATGAAAGCTAAATTTGTAAAAATGGATCTCGTATACTGAAGGGATTCCATCTCTTTAATAAAGGGAGCAGCAGCCTGAAGCTCAGATGTGCCTAATAATGTACTTTAATTTAAGGAGAGAAGAAGCGAAGAAGTACTGGAAAGCTAGATGTCTTTGATATATGTATTTTTAACTGACTGTGTAGTAAAAGAGGGCGGCTGTCAAATTGTGCAGAACATCCAGAGTAACTGGAGTCACCCATGCACAGTAACTTCTTTTAATCAGCAGCAAAAACACTGAACTGCACAAGTAATGAATCATCCAACACACACACAGAAAACTCAACTGATTGATCTTTTTAATTTCTTTATGCCAACAAAGAGCAAACAATGTGTTTCACTCTACGCTCCCTTAGGTTTGCTCATTAATTGTACTAATACAAAAAAGGTGTTACACATCAGTTGGAGTAC